CTTTATGCCACTGAATCAATGTAATGAAATGCACTGTAACTTATTCCTTGTTCCTATATTGGTTAAAATAACAGGATAAAGTTAATCAATACCCATCATCCAGCACATCTCATGCTAATGATGTCAAAGTGACATAATTTATCAAATCGTGTCAATAGCTTGAGACTATCATTGTGAAATATTTGGTAAAAAAAATATTTGACAAGTGCTGACCCCTGTATATACCATAATGTATATCTTGCTAAAGGTTATTTCCCCCCATTAAACTTCATTAGGTTAATCTAAAATGCCCCTGTGCCATGCTTCGTCGTGCGCCCTGGCATCAAAAGTGTAACTAAACGTTCAGCTCTTCAGTGGTTATTTGCTGCTATTTTCCTTGCTTTTGAATAAATCTTCAGAATGGAAATACACATCTTAAACATATGGGCCTAAGTAAACAAAATCTATTTATTCTGACAAGAGAAAAATAAAGTATGATGCCAAAGCCTTAAAAACAGCAGCCGAACAGCTTTAAGGCAATCATCATCACACTTTCTATAGAAACACACCAGATGTTCTGATTGCAGTGCTACCTTGAATAATTTGCCTGTTTTTTCCTGCAGGGTAAAGACCTTTCAAAGTCTAATTACAATTACACTAAGGAGAACCAAAGCTGGTGGATAAGGTATTTAAATGTTTGACTAGCTGGACACAACAGGGAGGTAGAAGTTGGGCGAGTGTGACACTCTTGGAAGCACAATGGATTTTAAGCAGGTGTGTTTTATCTATATTTAATGCAGACACTGCTAACAATGACAAAGCTAATAAAGCTACCCAGAGGAATCTCAGATCTTCATACATTATCTGTCACGGCCCTGTAACATCAAACCAATATATAAGGAGCCTTTTACAGACTGGAGCATTCTCTGCTATGTTAGAGCAGTGATTCATGTCTAAGGCTCCCTCTCTTCTCACTAACAGAAAAAAAGAGAGCATTTCTTCATTTAAATGTTTTTCTTTCCTCCTGGGTAAGAGAATATTTACATCTTGTGTCAACAACTTTATTCCTTCGTAGTGATTCTGGCTCATCAGAGGCGACCGTACATGCATTACAATTTTGGGCGCTGTAATTTGAGTCATCACATCTTGATATGATCATACTTAGCATTCCTAAATACATATCTTATATAAATAGATTCACAAGATTCTAGAAAGCATTCGGTTCAATGTCAGCACATCTCAACTACTTGAAGGGAAAGCTCAGATTATACATACAGCACTCTAGGCAAATGTTTACTGTCTGAATTACGAAGGGAAGGTAGACGTATAGCCGAAATAAGGACATAAACCTTAACATGTTGAAATTCATAAATGAAGCCATATAGATAACATTTTATTACACAATACTGGTACAGTGTTACAGATTCACGGTGATGTCCTACTGGGTGACACTTAGCCGGGCAGGTATTAAAATGCAAATTCTGATATTTTCACAACTTTATTTCTCACTAGTATAGAAAAGCTTGACTAGGGGATTGCCATATGATATAGTCTGTCTGACCCCTTAACGGGACATTATAGTTAAATTTACAGCTCCTCTGTGCACTGCAAGGGTTAAACGCTCATTACCCACTTTCCCTCCAGAGGATTTATCCCCTTTCCTGACCAGGCCATTTTATGTCCTTTATTTTTCCACAAAGAGCTTTCTTTTGGTGGTATTTCATCACCTGTGCGGTTTTTGTGGGTTTTTTTTGCATTATAAACAAAAAAACCAGACAATTTCGAAAAAAACCCAATATTTTTGACTATTTGCTATAAAACATAACCAGTAAAAAATTTTTAAAAATCAAATTTCGTCATAAAATTTAGGCCAAAATGTATTCCGCTACATGTCTTTGCTGAAGAAAAATCCCTATACATGTAAATTAATTGCTTTACCTGAAAGTTATAGCATCTACAAATGGCAGTATATATACTGGAATTCTATTTTAATTTTTTTTATTGCGGCGATCAGCAACTTATAGCTGGACTTCTGACACTGGGTGGGAGCTGACTAACTGCCACTGACATCCCCAGTGACACTAATACTACAGTGATCAGTGTTGATAAAAAGCACTGACACTGTACTAATGACACTGGGCAAAAAGGGGTTAACATCTGGAGCGATCAAAGGGTTACCTGTGTGCTGTGTGTGTTTTACTAAGGAAACATGCTGTGCAGAGAAATACACAGCACCATGTTATTGTTGGCAGGAGAGAGACCTATGTTGTTTACACATAGGTCTCTCCCCTGTCAGTGATACTTGGCAATTGGAGGGGAATCTCCAGCTAGGACCTTTTGATTGATGTCTGTAGCCGCCAATGGCAGCACGGATAGGGTGGCGCACGTGCCCCCTACCCGGAAATTCAAGTCACGTATATATACACATGATTTTGTGCAGCCCTGCTGCCCTGTAGCAGTACTTCTGCTATAGGGCGGAGGGGAAGCAATTAAAGGATAAGTTCATTTAAAAATAAATAAATGCAGTTTTTTGCAGGTAACAAAATGTAACAAAATAAAAAAAATAAGTATATTGTTGCACAAAATAATAGGGCAATGTTCTAATGCTATCATTTGCCCCAATATTTCAAATCAATTTTAATGACAGGCCCACTTTAAAAAAGATGTAGTGGTAGCTCTCTGTCCATCATGGGCTGATACTAAAAAACTGGAGAAAAAAAAATGAAGGGGTTGAGTTTAGTAGGTTCCATCTTTCAAATACTAAAAGTCCTCTGCGGAAGTCTTTGCGTTATATGCTTTGCTTGACTTATATTATACCTGGTTTTATTATGACTTACCACAGTAGGTTAATACCAAAGTCAGTGCTATAGATGACACTCAATTCTTAAAAAGGAACTTCACCTACCTCCCGAAAAATTTCAGTTCAAGTGTCCTTTGCATTTGTTGCTGTTATTATGCTATATACATATACTTACAAGACCAGCAGATCCAGCATTTGTCCTCTTCTTTTGCACCATTCTCCCACTCTGGGTCCTGTCCAGCACTGCCATTTTCCTTTTGTACATTCTGGGGAGCCGGCTGTATCTTCTCAGCTCTTGCAGCCAGCCCCCTGCAGAGACAGATCTTACACATGTGCAAGCAGAGATCCTGCACTGTCTGTTTACATGTTTGATTCCTCCTGGGATATGTGACATTAGTATCTCAGGGGGCGGCTTCAAATCATTCTCGTTTAGGAAGGGGGGGCAGTTGAACATGAAAACAAGGAAAAAAAGGTAACTAAAGAACTAATAAAAAGAGGATTAGAATTTTTAAATTGTGAAAGGGAATGGACTAGAATACTGCAAAAAACTGTTTTGGTGTGAAGGTCTGCTTTAACTGTATTTATTGGCCACCATCTTTTCAAATGCAGCTACTCACAAAGGCATGTTAACGTAGTTATTTTTAGAATTTATTTTAAAATTTAATTGACACTTCAGGTATGATAAAGTAATGCTTAACTCAACTGTCAATACTAGTAGGCTTGTAAATTAGCCAATTATATTGTTTTGTAGAAACATACATCAAAAATTGCTACAAGCAAAAGAAATGCATTACTTGTAGCTTAAAACTTCATGAAACATTAAAAACACTACATTTCCTTTTTATTCATAATAAACTGTCAATACAACACAAATGTTGATCATTCATATAGACTACTGCTCTGTGCGGTACATTCAGCCTAACCTATTCTAGGATGGTAATCTATTTTAAAATGACACACTGCAAATATGTTCAAAAATCAGGAACAATTACCCTATGTTAAATGTAATATTGGAGAGAAATAAGAATTGAGTATATTAAGGCTACATGGACAATTGCAATAGCAAACAGATAGAAAATCAGGAAGAATACTGAAATCTTGACTTGAGTTTCTCTACTTACTGCACTTTAAAGTATACGTAAACCAAATCACTAAAATCTCATAAGTTTTAACATGTAAAATGAATCCCAAAAGAAATTTTGCATCATTTTAAATCTGCAGCTTTCATTAAATAATACTTGGGGACGTTGGTATAATGGTCCTTCTTCATGTACTACATATAGCACCACTATCAACCCATCCCAGCATTCCAGAGTTCTAGGGGTAACCCTGTCCAAATCATGCCGCCTCAATTTCTGCAACATCTCCAGAATACGCCCCTTTTTAACCAATGATACCACAAAGCTCCTAATTTACTCCCTGGTTATCTCTCGCCTTGACACTGCAACTCCCGCCTCATTGGCCTACCTTTACATAGGCTATCCCCCCTCCAGTCCATCATGAATACTGCTGCCAGGCTCATCCACCTTACCAACTGTCTGTTACTTCTCTCTGCCAATCCCTCCACTGGCTTCCACTCGCCCAATGAATACAATTTAAAATACTAACAACAACTTACAAAGTCATCCACAACTCTCCCCCCAGCTACATCACCACCAACCTGGTCTCAAAATATCAACCAAACCGCTCTCTTCGATCCTCCCAAGACCTTCTGCTCTTTAGTTGCCGTGTCATCTCCTCCCGTGCCCATCTCCAAGACTTCTCCCGAACTTCTCCCATCCTATGGAATGCCCTACACCAATCTGTCCAACTATATCCTAATCTATCCACCTGTATACGATCCCTGAAAAACTATTCTCTTTAAAGAAGCCTATCCTGTTTCTAACTAGTAAACTGCCTTTTATTTCCTCCATCACCTCATCTTCCTCCTAGGTTGTAAGCTCTAACGAGAGCAGGGCCCTGTTTCCTCTTGTACTAAGTTGTATTGTAACTGTTATGTCTACCTTCATTTTGTAAAGCGCTGTGCAAACTGTTGGCTTTATATAAATCCTGTATAACAATAATAATAATAATTATTAGGTGGTGACAATCTCTCAATTGTTCTCCTGATGTTGTTCTGTCACACAGGCATCCTATAAAGACTACAACTGGCCATTTCAACACACATCACACAGGTATAGTCCACTGTTGTTATCATCAGGAAACCCATCATGAGAAATGCAATGCAGACATGCAATGCAATGCGTGAGGAGAGGAGAGACAGTAAGCAGCATTCCTCAGAGGGGACATCTACACTGATCATCAGGGCCCTGATGATCAGTGTAGCCCCATCAGTGACACCTGTCAGTGCCAATAATTGCCACTTGTCAGTGCCCATCAATGCCACATACCAGTGCCCATCAGTGCACATCAATGCCACATATCAGTGTCCATCAGAGCTGCCTTTCAGTACCAACTATCGGTGCCACCTATCAGTGCCAGTCAGTGCTGCCTATTAGTGCCAGTCAGTTCCATCTATCAGTGTCATCTATCAGTGCCGCCAATCAGTGCCAGACAGTGCCGCCAATCAGTGCCAGACAGTGCCACCAATCAGTGCCCAACAGTGCTGCCTAACAGTTCCAATTAGTGCTGCCTATCAGTGCCATATATGAGTGCTGCTTTTCAGTGCCCACCAGTAATGCCTGTTAATGCCCATTAGTGCCTCCTCTTCAGTACTGCCTATCAGTGCAGCCTATCAGTGCCAATCACTGCAACCTCATTAGCGCACATCAGTGAAGGAGAAAAATTACTTATTTACAAAATTTTATAACAGAAACTAAGAAAACACTTTATTTTTCAATATTTTCAGTATTTTTAGTTTGTTTAGCAAAAAATAAAATACCCAGTGGTGATTAAATACCACCAAAAGAAAGCTCTATATGTTTCAAAGGAATGATAACATTTTTGTTTGGGTACAGTGTTGCATGACCACGCAATTGTCATTCAAATTGCATAAATTGGCCTGGGCAGAAAGGGGGTAAAAGTGCCTGTTAGGCAAGTGGTTAAAGCATATCTGCATAGTTCACATTTCATGTAACATGATCTCTGATCATGGGACAAAATCTTGTCATTTGTCCGATTTTTCCCTATGCTGTGCCTATATTTAAAAAGGGATCAAAATCTTTACCAAGTTGTTTTAGACCTGTTAGTTTAACTTCTATAGTTGGGAAGATACTGGAGAGCTTAATAAAAAACCACATAGATGAGTTATTGCTGGAAAAAAATATTTTGAGCAACAGACAGCATGGATTCATGAAAGACAGAAGTTGTCAAACAAATCTGATTCTTTTTATGAGGGGCTGAGCAAAACCTTGGACAGAGAGGTGGTGGTGGACGTGGTATACTTGGATTTCGCAAAAGCGCTTGACACAGTTCCCCACACACGACTGATGTGTAAGGTAAAGTCTACAGGCTTGAAAAAATCTGTATGTAAATGGTTAGAAAACTGGCTAAAAGATCAAATTCAGAGAGTAGTGGTTACTGATTCATACTCTGAATGGTCTAGGGTTGTCAGTGGTGTACCCCAAAGTTCAGTGTTGGGACCCTTACTTTTTAATATATTTATAAACGATATAGGGTCTGGGATTAAAAATCCCATTTCAGTCTTTGCAGATGACACCAAGCTGTGCAGTGGAATAACGTCCTTACAGGATGCCTCCAACTTACAAACCGACATCAATGCACTGTTTAATTGGGCAACTATGTGGCAAATGAGGTTTAATGTTGATAAATGTAAGGTTATGCACTTGGGGACTAAGAATATGCATGCATCATACATACTGGGGGAGGGGGGGGGTACAACTGAGAGAATCAATGATGGAGAAGAATCTGGGAGTTCTGGTAGATCATTAGCTTGATAATGGCATGCAATGTCAAGCTGCGGTTTCTAAAGCGAGCAAAATCCTCTCTTGTATTAAAAGAGGTATAGACTCCAGAGAAAGAGATGTCATATTACCCCTGTACAAATCATTAGTAACACCTCATCTGGAATATGCAGTTCAGTTTTGGGCAGCAATTCACAAAAAGAACATTGGGGAACTGGAGAAAGTACAGAGAAAGGCAATCAAACTGATAAGAGGCATGGAGGAGCTCAGCTATGAGGAAAGATTAGAGGAACTGAATTTATTCTCTCTTGAGAAGAGGAGATTAACGGGGGATATGATCAACATGTATAAATACATCAGTGGTTCATATAGCGAACTCGGTGTAGAGTCATTCACTCTTAGGTCCATCACAGAGGACAAGGGGGTACTCTTTACATCTGGAGGAAAATATATTTAATCTTCAAATACGGAAAGGTTTCTTCACAGTAAAAGCTGTGAAAATGTGGAATAGACTCCCTCAAGAGTTTGTTCTGGCCCGCTCCGTGGATTGCTTTTAAAAAGGCCTGCTTTATTTCCTAGATACACATAATATAACTGGATACTAACATTTACAGGTAAAGTTGATCCAGGGAATATCCAATTGCCTCTTGGGGAATCAGGAAGGAATTTTTCCCCTGCAGGAGCAAATTGGATCATGCTTTGCTGTTTTTTTTGCCTTTCTCTGGATCAACTGTGGGTGTAGGATTATAACTTTTTTTTTTTTGGTTGAACTGGATGGACTTTTGTCTTTTCAGCCACACTCAACAGAGGAGGAGGGAGGAGACGGTGGTTCCCTATTGGACCATCATCGCTGCAGTTCTGTCCAAAGACCCCAGGCTATTGACCACTGCAGCACCAGAAGCAATTGGAGGAAGACTGGCATCCCTGCACAGAAGATTTCAAACATATCCTGCTACCTGAACAATGTAGGACATATTTCATCACATACAGGTAAAGCTGTACATTTTTTTGCGGGTAAAAAAAACGTGCATTTATTATTTTTTGTTTTGGGAGCCTATAAAGTATTGCACCAATGATCATCAGGTGCCATGCAGGACTCCTGCAGACCTGTCAGTGTATCTGTTTGCTCATACCTCATACGGGCAAGCAGATACACCATGACAGAAAGAATCAATGAACTACCACAGTGCTCATTGTGGTAGTTCATTGAGAATTACAAACTGACAGTTGTAAAGGCTGTTGGAACTTACAGTTTTCCCATTCACAGAAAACTCTGAATAAGTGACGCGTCTGGGCAGGCAAAGCCCTGCAAGGCCCCGTTTTTTTTAACTTCTGACAGCTAGTGGGGGAGAAGATCCCCTGGTTACTGTCAAAAATGGGGATCAGGGGAGAACAGGGGATGGTCCTTTCATAACGTGTTACACCCTGAATATGGGTGTAACAGGTTGCAAAAGGTGAACTTATCCTTTAGTTATCTTCTGTTGAGAGGGGGAAGGCCACACACTGGCCAAAATGGGAAGTGTAATTTTAGAGTTCAGCATACTTGCAGTGTATCCTGAATTGCCTTAGCTGTTGATTGAGTGATGACTCATAATTATATGGTATAGACTAAAAATCCAAAAAAACACTGTATGATGGGGTAGTAAGTATATTTTTGCATATACCTGTGTTACTGTATATAGCATCTACAAACATCCTCCTGAAATCTTTGCAATTACACATTTGCAAAGAAGGCAACTGGTGGAAACGATAAGCTAAACTGCAAATGATAACCCATAAATCTCATGAAATGTGATATTTCAGCAGCTGACTGTTTTTTCTCCAATAAGCTGCCGTTCTGGTTTACAGATTTATGATTTAATTCTAGAAATGGACTATAAAGAAGGTTTACCTGCACTGCCAGTCAAACGTGGGACGCACTAGACATATGGATACTCAACAGTCACATTTATCTGAGTATATTATTGATTTGGAGTACAGGAAACACAGTATATGTGATATATGGTAAACTGAACACTTCAAACATTATTTACTGGCCTCAAACACTCTAGCGAATGTTATATAATTAAAAACTAAGAGATATATGGACAAGCAGATTTCTTTTAGGAAAAAAAAAATGTAATTTAGCACAAAAGATCTTTCTGAAGGTTTCCCTGCATTTCTTTGCTATTCAAAGCAGAACTCCAAGCAAGCAAAAAAAATATGTTTACTTGTTTTAGCTGAAAAAGGATTTAAACTTTTGTGTAGTTACTTTTTAGATTTACACACCTCATGCCAAAGAGATGATCAACCTACTACTTCATTTTTACTGCTTCCTGGATTACCTGCTAGCTAAATTGGTCAGATGTTAGGTTGAGATGTGAATTCATTGTCCACTGAGAAGGCTGTGATAAGAATAGTGGCAACCGATGGCTGTACACCAGTAGAATTTCCTTTTAAAAATGTTTACTTTACAATTTCTAATGGTAAGTGGGGTCAAATCGATGTTCATTTTAGACCGTAGCAAAGAGGAAATTTGAAGTAGAAAAATGGAAAAGTTTCCTTGAATTAATTAATTTCTAACTGCAGTACAGTGGCTAAATGGTTAGCACTTTCACCTAGCAGCACTAAGGTCATTGGTTCGAATCCCAACCACAGCACTACCTGCACAGAGTGTGCATGTTCTCCCTGTGGCTGCGTGGGTTTCCTCTGTGTTTTCCGGTTTCCTCCCACACTCCAAAGACATGTTGGTTGGGTTAATTGGCTCCTGCATAAATTGGCCCTAATATGTGTATGAATGAGCCTAGTACACATGATCAGACAATTGTAAGAAAAATACCACTTATGAAGCGATCGTACGAAAAAATCTGATTGTTATTACACAGCTTTCGTCCAAAATTATTTGAAGGGACAAGCACGAATATTTTTCTCGTATGATACCAGATCTCACGATTTTAATTTAATCATTTTTGTCCGAAAATACAATACAAATACATTACATCAATTCCGAATTTTCTTTCTGTCGTACAAGAATTTTTGTAAATTTAGTAACCTTTTCACTTTCAATATGAGACTTGCATGCAAAAAAAACCAAAAAAACCAAAAAAAAACAAAAAACAACAATTTGTCCAATATTCTAATCGTGTGTATGGGCTTCAGGGACCTTGAATGTAAGCTCCTTGAGGGTTAGGGACTGATGTGAATGTACAATATATATGTAAAGTGCTGCGTAAATTGACGGCGCTATATAAGTACTTGTAATAAATAAAAAATCATAAATACTATAATGAAACCTGACAGATGGTTAGATTGAGTTCTGTCAAACAGACAAACTCAAAAACGTTTGTCGCTTTAACATTTGGTCTATTACTGTACATATACATGCTCGCAAAATATGGCAGCCTTGGAAACGACAGTACTTACAAGGTATGCTTGCGGTGATATTTGGTCCACAAAAGGATTGCTAAATTAATCAACAACTATGTACTATGTACCCAAAAGTTTAGAGTCTGCAAAAACATAGCTACCCACCTTCATATGTGATGGGCCTGTCCTGTAAGCACATTTTTGTCAGACATTTTCACTATCCTCTCCAAATTACTAGGTAAAACCATACCCCAACAAAAGTGCCCCCCAGATATGATAAAATGCACAGTTTAAGCTCAACAAGCTCTTACAAGTCACAACTGCATCTAAACAGACTATGACCAAAGCATGGAAAACATCCAGGCTTTGCCTAGCCGAAACTAAAAACAGAATCACCCAGGCTATGGTCCATGGTAAAGTACAGGATAGGATCCCCAAATACAACAAAATATGGCAACCTTGGATTGACAGCTTGCTCCCTCCAGGATTTGA